CCGGGACCAGATGAATAGGACCACTTTTTGTCCTTCAAATTGTTATAAATTTCTGTATGCACTTTGCTTTATATTAAACATGATTCTCAGTAAACATCCTACTTTAGTGTTCAGGATGAATTGTACACTGTTAGCATGAATCTTGTTTTTTGCTTTTTTTAAAAGGTTTTGACATGAGCCAATTAATACTTTACTGTGAAGTTAACATTTCTGAGGCAAATTTAATTACACATGTTCAGAATTTAATAGTGAATAATGTTAATATGTTACTGATGGTGCATTTCTGGTTTAAGCAAATTAAGGCTGTTTTCTAGTTTTGCATGATTGGTGGCAGTTTAGTACATTTTGACTTAAATGTGTAATGTTTAAGCCTACGCTAACAAGTTAAAACTACTGAGTTTAGGTATGTTGTCATTTTTGCTAAAAGGTTAAAAATGAATAAATGTTGATTGTTTGTGGTGCATTCTTTCTTGTGTAATACTTTTATGTGTGCCTACAGTGCATTCAGAAAGTATTCAGACCCCCTTCACTTTTGTCAATTTTCTTATGCTGCAGCCTCATTCTCCAGTTGTTGGAATTCATTTTTTTCTCATTAATCTACACTCAGTACCCCATAATGACAAAGCGGAAAGCGAAGTTTAGAAATGACTGTAAATTTATTAAAAAGAAAAAAACTGAAATATCACATTGGCATAAGTATTCAGACCCTTCACTCAGTACTTTGTTGAAGCACCTTTGGCAACAATTACAGACTCGAGTCTTTTTGGGTATAACGCAACAAGCTTTATACTCCTGGATTGGGGAATTTTCTGCCATTCTTCCTTGCAAATCCTCTCAAGCTTAGTCAGGTTGAATGGCGACCATCAGGGGACACTCATTTTCACGTCCCTCCCAAGATGTTCAATAGGGTTCAAGTCAGGGTTATGGCTGGGCCACTCTGGGACATTCACAGAGGTGTCCCTAAGCCACTCCTGTGTGCTGTGTGCTTAGGATCACTGTCATGTTGGAAAGTGAACCTTTGGCTCAATCTGAGGTCCTGAGTGATGTGGAACAGGTTTTTATTGAGGGTATCCCTGTACTTTGCTCCATTCAGCTTGCCTTCAACCCTGACCAGGCTCCCAGTCCCTGCTGCTAAAAAACACCCCCAGAGCATGATGCTGCCACCACCATACTTCACTGTTGGGATAATATTGGTTAGGTCAGGGGTGTCAAACTCATGGTCCACAGGCCGGATACATCATGCGCTGGCCACACCCACCCGTTTTAGCAAGCGGCAAAAGTTGTGATGCATCACGTGACAACAACATGACGATGCGAGTTTGACACTCCTGGGTTAGGTGATGAGCGGTGCCTGGTTTCGTCCAGACATAACATTTAGAATTGAGGCCAAACAGTTCAAACTTGGTTTCATCAGACCAGAGAATCTTGATTCTCACAGTCTGACAGTCCTTCAGGTGCTTTTTTGGAAACTCCAAGTGGGCTTTCATGTGTTTTGTACTAAGGAGAGGCTTCTGTCTTGCCACTCTGCCATAAAGCCCAGATCGGTGGAGGGCTGCAGTGATAGTTGTCCCACATTATCAGTTGTGAGGCCTTCTATAGAGAGGTGGGTGCCTTTCCAAACCATGTCCAATCAATGTAATTTACCACAGGTAGACTCCAAGGTATAAAAACATGTCAGCAATGATCAAGAGAAATGGGAGACACCTGAGCTAAATTTCAAGTGTTGTTGCAAAGGGTCTGAATACTTATGCCAAAGTGATACTTCAGTTTTTTCTTTTGAATAAATTTACAGACATTTCTAAAATTTTGTTTTCACTCAGTCATTATGGGATACTGAGTGTAGATTAATGAAAAAAATGAATTCCAACAACTGCAGAATCAGGCTGCAGCATAACAAAATTGACAAAAGTGAAGGGGGTCTGAATACTTTCTGAATGCACTGTATGTAACTTGAAGGATGCTAACTATATTTTGCTTTCCATGTCAAGTGGTCTGATTTCAGAAAAGTGCCCTGCTCGACCATCACGGATTTTGATGAAATTTTGTGTGAACGTGCACACATATCCCCAATGAACATTGGTAAAGTGTTACGTGTGCCGATGCAATACTTGCAGAGATATAGTTATTTGTTTGACCCCACACTGCAGCCTTCTACAGTATGCCTCTGAGGTTCCAGCAACTTTGAGACATAATATCTCCAGCAATATTTTGTAGAGAGAAACAAAACTTGGCCATCTTGTACAACCTGTTGTGCTCTATTAAACAAAATAATAAAAACATTCTCATGAGTGAGCTCCATCTAGATACCGTATTTTTCGGAGTATAAGACACACCTTTCCCCCCAAAAAGGAGGGTGAAAATCTGGGTGCGTCTTATACACTGAATACAGCATTTTTGGTCTCCCGAAACCCGGCCCCTTTGCAAAAATGGACATGCATAGGCTTTGGGAGGCCTGCAAAGTACCATTTTTTGCCGCCCCCAGCCCCCAGGAGCACTCAACAAGCCTCCCAAAGCATATGCATGCCCTGTGTTTTTGCAAAAAATGGCCCCTTTTTTGCTCATTTTTGCCCACCCCCACCCCCCAGGAGCACTTTGCAGGCCTCTCAAACTCTCTGCATGGTCTGTTTTTCACAAATGAAAATGCAACCCCTGAGATACTGGAACACTGCTATCATGTCACCCCCTAGTCCATCTTTTCATAAGACTGGACATACCCAGTTCCAGCAAATGTTCTTCATATGTTTTAGCCTCCAGTCCCCTAATCTTCTTTGTTGCTCTTCTGTACACTCTTTCCAGAGTCTCCACATCTTTTTTACATTGTGGCAAAACTAGATGCAGTATTCCAAGTGTCGCCTTACCAAGGCATTATAAACTGGTATTAACACTTCACTTCATGTTTGATTCTATCCCTCTGTTTATGCAGCCTAGAACTGTGTTGGCTTTTTTGGCAGATCTCTCTCACAGTTACTACTATTGAGTGAGGTACCACCTATACCAGTGATAGCTAACCTTTTTGCTGTTGTGTGCCAAAGGTGCGCGCATATGCACGCAACAACATGCATGCACAGCCATAATGCAATGTGTGTGCCCTGCCCCCCCCCCCCCGTCGACCCCCTGGTCGACCATTTTTGGCTTCCAGGTTGGTGCAGGAGGCTTTCCAGGTCCAAAACAGGGAGCGGGGGGGCCTTGCACGCCCCACTTTAGGCCTGGAAGGCCTCCTGCACCAACCTGAAAGCCAAAATGGGGGGTGGGGTGCTGCACGAGGCCCCAAAATGCAATGTGAGCGCCCCCTGCGCATGCATTTGTGCATCCCCTGCATGCACCCTGGCCCCCACGCATGCACGGCAGAGACCCGAAGACCAGCTGGAGTTATCATCATAACTACCTTGACCTGTAACCTTAGTGTCCCTATTGGGTCAGCAAGGGCACTGTATCTGTTATGCTGGGACACAGTGAAAGCTTTCTGTGTTTATAGTTCACAGCTCTCACCCTGCCAGATACCAGAGTTGTCCATACTGTCCTTCTCCTGCAGGGTTTTTGTGGTAGAGGGGGCTGATGGCGCAGCAGCTCAATAGAGTAGAATGGCTGAATTGGACGCCTAATTTCTGCTTGAAGAACACAGATTAGAGACTCTAGATAGGTAATTTGTCCATGTAGACTAGTAATTTGTTTACAAATAGGATAGTGTTGTGACTCAGCAGCAGTCTTCTGTGAGT